GAAGCGGGGAACTACCCCACTTCCTGACGCCAGCCAATAACGGGAGGCTCCGTGCAGCCTCCTGCGAGCCTGAACCAGGATCGTAACAATCATGTCAGACAAGTCAGCATAGTCGTCTCCGTCGCCGCTTCAGGTGGCGGTGAACGGCCAGGTAGACGAGTCTAGGATGCCTAAGGGGCATCGCCGGTGTTACGGTACGGCCGAACTATGGTCCGTGGTGCCGCAACTATGTAATGAGGCTGCAAGCCCCACTTGCAGCCCTATTCCTGATTGGGGCTAGTGCGGGGGCAGCTACATGGAGGGGTCTACAGTGGTGGCCGTAACACCTAACACCACAAAACCAACGCCTGCACGCCTCGCAGGCTTTTTCTTTTTCCGCCTAAAAAGCCATACTTGGGTATCTCGAACGAACCTAAATGCCACTTGTTCAGTAGTGAGCGACTTACTATACCAATAACGTCCTCAGGTTCAGTCAACGTACCACATCACTAGCTGAACCAGTCAACAAGCTTCTCAAGTCTTCTGTTATCACCGACAACAGCAACACCTTCTAAACCGTACAACAGTCACTCGATATGGTGGAGGGTGTAAAAGAAGCCTACGAGAAGCTGACTGCGAAGCAAAAAGAGCGCATTCGCTTCGACAACCTAGCTCAGCAGTGGCTTTGTAATGCTTCCTATAATATATCTTATGATGCCCTCAATCGTGTTGTATGTGAGGACCCGTCCACCAAACTGGCCCTGAAGCAGCCAGAGCCGCCCAGAACCCACGGGCCTATCAGAAGCCTCCTCGAGGCCCCACCTACCCCGCTGATAGATGCAAACTTATTCGCGAGCACGCGACGCGTTGTCGGACTTTTCCTTCTTTCCCTCCTCAGTTTAGAATCTTCGTCGATAGCACCCAATGGACTGAGTTCACCTCAATGCCTTGCCCTGGTCGTGACATTGTAAAGCAACACACAAAGATGGAATCTGCTCTCGGGGACCGCGCCCAGCCCCTGAAGCCCTGCACCGGTCCGTTCCGGGCACAGTATAGCATTCCTTGCGCTCATGAGCTCCTTCAGCGTTACCAGGCCGGTAATCTGAAGCTTCAAAAGACCGATTTCCATCCATATTGGTACGAAGATAGGTCGTTACTTAACGAAGACAATTACTTACAGTACTAAGAGTTTGATAGAGTCGAAACCTTTGCGGCAGGCCACGCAACTCGAATGTCTTCGCCGCCGAACCGAACGCACCGAGAGTCCTGACTACACAGCCGAGAGCCACATAGCCAGCCGGGCAACCGGGCGGGCAGTCCGGACTTATTCAATTTGCTAGCATATCTCAGTGGGAGGGAGTCTTCCTTGACGATGACGACCACATCGACGACGACGACGATGATGACGACGTTGATGACGACGTTGATGAGCTCAGCCAACCTACGGGACCTCTTCGCCGTACTATCAACAACCTCAATGCAGCTCGGGGTAGCCTGGGCACAGGAAGTCGGGGTAGAGGAAGCCGGCGAAGAGGAAGCCGGGGTATAGGAAGGCAACAGGAACCACAAGAAGTCGGGCAACAGGAAGCCGGGCAATAAGAAGCCGACGCACACAAAGCAGTGGCCGAGGCGGCACGGCATCACGACCTTCACAATACCAAACCACTCGCTACCACTCGCTGCACACAACTTGCTGCCAAGACTTGCTCGCTCGCTACCGGCTCTGATTTTTGCTTTCTTATTCCACAAAACCGCGTTCAAGGCGTCTTTCTGAAGGTTCTTAAAGCAATTCCCGAGTTCCCCAGTACTAAGTTTATCGCTAAAGAGCTTCTATATATTCTCAACCGCTACGGCGAATTCCTTGGTGCCCGGCACCTGCGATATCGATCCAAACGCCTCATAAAGAGCATCACTGAATGTGTCGACAGCTACGTCTATACGTACTTCAATAGATACAGTGCTAGGTATGCCTGGTGTTTTCGTTCCAACTGGAATGAGGGGGGGACGCTACGCGTAGGCGTAATTTCAAGATCGGTATCTCGACGATGCTATTACCTAGCAGCCAACTAGCGTAGAACAGGTGTAATATCTATAACGCTCTTGTCTACAGATTCTTCGTCAAGGTCCTCTAGGTTATCGCGCTCCAAATCCTCGTCGTCGTTTTCCTAGTATTAAGAGTTGTCTTATGTAAAGAAAGGAAACTCCAAACACCAGCCGCGCGCATAGGGTGCGCGCTCACCACCTGTTACCAACTGGCCGGAACACTGCCAGTTGGCACAAGCCACTACGCCACGCCATGACGCCTTGGGCCTAAGCCCCTGAGCACGTATATAAACAGTGGCCCTCGCCCACCTTCCTTTGCGAGGGCCAGGTTGAAGTCTAACACCAATAGTACTCATTGCTCGCCCACCTTCTTACCTGCATTGTGACCACCTTGATCCGGCGTACCTGCCTTCTCTCACATCTTAGTAATGGGATTCAACTGCCTCGACCATATTCGTACCAGTTGCTTTTTTCCGCCAAAAGACTGCTTGATATATATCCACGTCACCTAAAGGAATAGTCTTCAGCTACTAGTAAGACCTGAAACTGATATTGCGAGAGAGGAATATTACAAACTACTCAACTGTTAGGGTCGTCTGTCTGTAAGGGAGCACGGGCTTTACAGAATGCTGGGGTTGGTAATTATGAAGATAGAGAAAAGGGCAAGCTCCTATCGCACGGGTAATACAGTTAAATCGGAATGCTACTCGAAGTGTATGAGTGCAGTGAATGTGTATTGCTTGCTTGAAGAACCAAGCAAGAACTATCTAAGACCGTGGCTACGGTCATCGTATTTATCTAATTCATGTAACTAATCAGAGTTCTCTCTTTGCGCTCTGTGCGCCCTGGGTGCTCTGCTCACAGAGCACGGAGGTCCCGCAGAGCGCCCGCTCTGTCCGCTCTGTTGGTCTTGGCAGCTAATCGGGCAGAGCACTACCTGATTGGCTGCACCGAACCCCTGCGAGGCCCGGCCCGCCTGCCTGTACTGCCCAATTAGCAATTGGCTTCCAGCGCCTCCTGCAGACTTAGACCAGGATCGTAACAAAGAAGCGTTCCTAAGTGCTTTCATCGCAGTTAGGAAACCTAGTCTCGTAGTTAAAGGTAACGCCCAAATAACCCTCAAGCAACTATTTCTGAGCATAAAAACGGCGGCGCTCAGTATTCCATTTCTAGCTGATCTTTTCCTCTAACCACCTCTCATTTGGCCAATTCTCTTGACAAAGCTCCAAGATTTCCTCTCATAGTTGAAGAACGCTTTCGCTTCGATTTCGATGATTCTTCTTGCGGTAACTGAGCCGGGGGAGCAATACTGAGAGTTGAAGGCTATTCCCGGTCGCTTAGGACCGTCGAAAGCGGTTCCAGGCCGCCTGGACCCTCTAGCATATCTTCAAGCGGCGAGAAAGCATCGTTGCTAGCGATCCAGGCTGCAAGGCGAGGGTCCCGATAATCTAGATCATCAGGGTCGTTGTTGGCTGCCTGGGGCGTAGTAATGGCAGCCTCAACCAGATTGGTCAAATCGTAGACCAGTGTCACGGCCGCCACAGGGCTCATGTGACAGGATTGATTCTATTGGCTGCATTGTGCTTAGGGTGTAGCCTGTGCGCACTGAGCACCACTACCTATTTCTCCGCGCCCTGCGCGGACCCGGCGATAGATTCCTTTCTCTTCCTTAGCTTTAAATCCACATTCGTTACTGCCTTCAACCATTGACATCCCTACTGCGTAAGGCAAGCCGTCACAACCAGTATATCGTCGAATGCGTCTTGTCGTATGGCCATTCTAACTGGTTTGCAGCCAAAAAGCGGCTCGAATGCTACAAGTCAGAGGCTGGCACAGGCACAGATACGGCGGAAGCGGTGAGCCAAAGGGGCGCAAGCTAGACCCAATACAGCATATGGGGCCAAAAGTAGGCTACGGGCAATACATTTGAAAAATTCCCTAATTTTACAGCGAGTCAAATATACTGCTAAGCCCCACGGGCACCATGCCCGTGAGTTGGCGAGCCCGAAAAGGTTAGGGTGTTGGAGACTGTCACAGCCGGCTTGGAATGAGGGCGGAACTCCTCTATTGGGCGCTATAGACGAAGATTCTAAACTAAAAGGAAAAGGGAAAAGAAGCTCAAAAGCCTCCCCTCGTGAGATTCTTCCAGGGCGTCTCAAGGTGGGGCTCTGGCCGAGCTTCCATTGGTCAGTTAGGCGGATCTCTCTGGCTAGTCGGGTGAATCCACCCGGCTGGCGTCTGATTAGTCAGAGCGTCTGGGAGGCCTAGAGGACCAGGCCCTCACAGAGACTTTGGGATACCAGCCGCTCCCTATTGTGTTGTTTACTGACAGCACGAACGCCAGAATCAACGTCATGAACCCCTCAACGTAACCCGCACTCTTGCTCGGGGACTTTGGGGCACACCAGCTGCTGGGGACTTTGGAGCATACCAGCCGCTCTCTATGTGTTGTTTACTGACAGTGCGAACGCCAGAATCAACGTCACGAATCCTCAACGCAGCCCGCACTCCTGCTCAGAGACGGGCACACCAGCCGCTCCCCATGTGTTGTTTACTAACAGCACGAGGGCCAGAATCAACGTCATGAACCCCTCAACGCAGCTCCTACTCTGTCACGGCCACCACTGTAGACCCTCCGTGCAGCTGACCCCGCACTAGCCCTAATTGGCAATGTAGGTCTTGGAACCTAAAAAGCGGTGTGGGCCCATGTGCTGCCCCGCTCCCACAAAAAGCCTGCACGCGAATAATTCCTTTGTAGATTTTTCTTTCTTTCTTCTTTATCTTAGAATCCTTTAGACAATGGTATAGCTGTATTAGCGATTCTTTTCCTTCTAGTTATTGACCGCTGTCACATACTCCTACTTGGAGACTCTGGGACATACCAGCCGATCCGTATTGTGTTGTTTACTTTTAGTAAGAAACGGATAACTGCATTACTTAGAGGAAGACTCCCTATCTGAGCTACCGCAGAATATGTATTAGATGGTGATGGTCTGGATAAGTGGAACCCATAGATGCACTAGTTAGCCTAAAAGCCCAAAATCGCCTTCTTCGCGGTGTTTTCCTCCTTCTGGAAGTGGGTTATTCCGTTGCCAGGCCCACTTCGTGTATCAGTCCTCGCTGAGGGCTTTCTATACAGAAACACATTCTTAGGCCTTGGTAGGCTATTTGAACGTTTTCTGGCTCTCCAGTGCCCTGTTAGTTGTTGACTAACCAGGGCACTTTCTTTGCCTCCATTCTGAGCATTTTGACAAATTGTGTGTTTCTCGGTGTAGATGGGCTTTGTGAGGCCATCTGCTGCCATTTTGTCGCCGGAGATTTGTACAACCTTTATCAGGCCTTTCTTCACCCTGTTGATGACCCATTTGTAGCGTATGTCAATACAGCGAGTCCTAGCTATATTGAGGAGGTTCATGACATTGATCTAAGCGTTTATGCTGTCGGTAAACAATATGGTTAGAAGTGGTTGTTCAGCGCCGTAGTCCTTGAGCAGCTGATAGACCCATTGAGCCGTTTGTGAAGTGGGTCTAAGGTTCGTGAACTCAGCCTCTATTATGCTGTGAGCCACGTAGGTCTGTTTCTTCGTCTTCTAGTAAATAGGCGAGCCAGCGACTGTGTTGTCCGTAAGGCTACCGAGTGTGAGGCAGAAATCGGGGCTTCTTTCTGTATGTTGATGATGTCTTTGGTATAAAAGAAGAAATCGTCCTCCTCTTTAGCAAAGCGTATATAAATAGAATCACCTGTCGGAGCGAGGGCAGGTGGCGGGGCAGGTGCTAAGGCGTACTCAGTTGTGACGGTTTGTGCAGGCATTCTCAGCATGGGTGGTGACGTTATAGGCATTTGTAGCGAGCGTGTAGGCACGAGAGGCACGGTGCCAATGTGCTCAAGCAGGGTACGCGTGTCGAGAGGCACGGTGCCGATATGCTCAAGCGGGGTGCGCGTGTCGAGAGGCTCTGGCGTACCTTGCGGAGAGGGCAGGGTCGCCGCGCCGTGACGTGATTCAGAGTCTTCAACGTGTGTGTGTTTGGCGTGGTGTGCCGGGGCGTAAGGCTCTGTAGGGCCTGTGGTGGTTATGACTATTAGAAAGGTCAATACTTGTGGTTTCGGCTGCTTGTTCAATCTCTATAACCGTTGCTTCTTCAAATACGACCTCAAACTCAGCCGCCTCGCCTTCAGAAGTAGAAGGTGTGTCTTCTTCGTTGAACCTGACTGCCGAGGCCCTGATGATCTTCTTGTTCGCTGGGTCATAGATGCAGTAGATTCTTGTGAAGGTCGCCGTAGCCGATAAGCTAGCCAAATGTGGCCTAAGAAGTGAATAGTTAGATACGATGCGCGTTTGGGTCCTCTTATAGAGGTACGCAGCGTAGTAGTAGGAGCGAAGGTAGTTGACAAAGGGTTTATGAAGGCTTGACGCCATGTTCGGAGCCTCCGCAACGACTTGGTGAGAGCTTTGGTGGCCTTTGTGGCAGCTTGTTAGTAGTAGCCTTTGTTGCGGCTGGTCAGTAGTAGGTTGAGAATCTTGACAACTGAGTCCATCATAAAGCACCAGAGCCTTTCTTGAATGCCGTATTCGATGATTAATTATTACAAACCACTCGACTGTTAGGGTCGTCTGTCTGTAAGGGAGCACGGGCTCCACAGAATGCTGGGGTTGGTAATTATGAAGATAGAACAAAGGGCAAGCTCCTATCACGCGGGTAATACAGTCAAATCGGAATGCCACTCAAAGTGTATGAGTGCAGTGAATGTGTATTGCTTGCTTGAAGAACCAAGCAAGAACTATCTAGGACCGTGGCTACGGTCGTCGTATATATCTATCTAAGGCGGACCAATCAGAGCGTTGGTCCTAGGTGATCAGTGCGGTCAGTGTGCTCAGTGCGATCAGTTCCCACTGATCGCCCTGATCATACTGATCTGTTACGATCCTGGTTCAGGCGCGCAGGAGGCTGCACGGAGCCTCCCACTATTGGCTGACGCAAGGAAGTGGGGTAGTTCCCCGCTTCGCTCAAGTGCAGCCAATAACGGGGCGGTCAGTATGATCAGCATGGTCAGGGCGATCAGTGAGGAAACTGATCGCACTGAGCACACTGACCGCACTGAGCTCACTGATCACCTAGGACCAACTCTCTGATTGGTCCGCCTTAGATAGATATATACGACGACCGTAGCCACGGTCTCAGATAGTTCTTGCTTGGTTCTTCAAGCAAGCAATACACATTCACTGCACTCATACACTTTGAGTGGCATTCCGATTTGACTGTATTACCCGTGCGATAGGAGCTTGCCCTTTGTTCTATCTTCATAATTACCAACCCCAGCATTCTGTGGAGCCCGTGCTCCCTTACAGACAGACGACCCTGACAGTCGAGTGGTTTGTAATACGATCGCGCTGACCGCCACGCTATTGGCTGCACTCCCGTGAAGCGGGGAACTACCCCGCTTCCTTGCGCCAGCCAATAGCAGGAGGCTCCGTGCAGCCTCCTGCGAGCCTGAACCAGGATCGTAACATTAATACCATACCCTTCGTCATGATCTCTCTGCCTACCCTCTCGCACGCTCCGTTCATCTAGGGCGTATTAGGCGAAGTTTTGTACATCTCGATGCCTTTTTCGTTGCCCAGATCTTGAATTTTGAAGCGTAGAATTTGTCGGTAGCTAGGTTTGCGGTATTTAATTAAGTCGGCCCTCACAAATTCTAGCGGGGTATTACACACCACTTCGGCTTCCTTTACAAAAAGGTCGGTATCTTTCTCGAGCATATAGGAGGGGAAGTGGGACGGCGCCAGCTCACAGCACCCACTACCGCTGCGCTAGAACCCCCAAAAGGATGCCAGAATTGCAAGTCGTCGACTTGCAACCTGTAGTGGGTTATAGTGTGCTACGGCCGTTGCGCGCCGTGACAGGAAGGCTTTGTCATATACGCCTGTGATCTGTATACCCGCCTTGTTGCATACTGACAACCACGCGGTTGGCATGGAGGAGCCTGCGGTGCATGACGTCGTAGGTGATGGAGGCGAGCATGCAGTCTTTTGCTATGATCTGTGCCGGTAGGTCAGGAGTATTGAGGTAGAGAATTACCAGCAGGCCGCTTACTCACTGTAGGAAGGCGACTGGCTTCCTGTCACGGCATGGCCTAGACAGGCGCCTGCGCCCTGATTTGTCGTATCCTATTTAGAGTATGGCCCGTGCATGACTTGGCACGTGGCCCACAATCACCAATTTCCCCGCGCCCTGCGCGGTCTCTGTCATAGCTTCCTTCTTCATCTTTAGATTCTACAAATTCGGCATTGATTACTACAGCCCTGTCTCCTTGAGTTGACCGAGCCGTAATAATCTAAAGATTGTTTCTACGGCCTACCTTACCGAAGCCTGGATGTCATTCTTCTCCTTCTTCAATTGACCGAAAGAACCCGCGTTTTCTTTGTGGTTCATACAACCACGGTCGCGCGTAGCGGAATTCGTCGCTTTTTTCCACCCCCACCTTCGACCTAGAGAGTAGAATCCAAGGCCAGGCAGCGGACCGCCGAACCCTTATTAAACCCAGCTGATCACCCTGATCCTCACTATGGCCGGTGACACGGTTGACCAGATCGCTCAACCGCAACACATTGTCAGCGGTCAAAACGCGACCCTCGAGAACCTCACGACCAGACTGACGACTCTGGATACCAACATCACGATGCTCACCGAGATCCTATAAGCCGGAACGGTCAGAGCACGACCCTCGAGGACCTCTCGACTAGACTGACGACTCTGGAGACCAACATCACGATGCTCACCGAGATTCTGTGGAGCCGAAACAGTCACAGCGCGACCCTCAAGAAACTCTCAACCAGACTGACGACTCTGGAGACCAACATCACGATGCTCACCGAGATCCCATCGAGCCGGAACGGTTGCCCGAAGCCTAGTATCCCTGACATCGAAAAGTTCTCTGGTTCTGATACTGACTGGGATACTTGGTTCTCGTTACTCAAAGCGAAGCTTCGTATCGATGGAGCAGCAATTGGCAACAATAAGGCTCAATTCTTTTACGTCTACGGTCTTCTTGACACTAAGTTCCAGGCTCTCGTAATGCCTTAGCTTACCGAAGCTGAAGACAACGACGACTACGATCCCCATACCTTGATCGATCAGCTCAAGCGACTCCATGACGATCCCAATGAAGTCCAGAACGCAGAGGACGAGTTCCACAGCTGCCGACAAGACAATGAAGACATTGCACCATTCTTCATACGCTTCGAACTCTTGATATATAAGGCCAAAGCCAATACGTGGCCTAATAACACCAAGATCTCTCTACGCAAGGGACTCAACAAGGTCACACGTACCCGGCTTGATACCCAGGTCATTGTCCCCGAGAACTACGATGACTTCGTCAAGTTACTTCAGAAGCTTGGAAACCCTGGCTCAGGCTTGTACAACAGCTATTCTAACAGTGGTCAATTCGAAGAACCATGTAAGGAAACCACCCTCGTAGCCACCATGGCCACCGCCACCAGGGCCACCCTCGCCACCATCGCCACTATCGCCACCGCTAACAGGGCCACGCACTATCGCCACTACTACCCTGGCTACGCAAGGATGACTCGTAACCCCCTTCACGTGTATATAGACCTGGCCTTCGCACACCTCTTTAGCTCAGGCCAGGTGTGATGAACCACGCCCATTCTGGGTTAGTTATAGCTCTGAAAGTGGGGCCGGCCAATAGAGATGACGAGACAGGCATGCGGGGCAGGGACCCGCATTTGCTCTGTACGGTGGGGTACGGAGCAACGGTTTGGTTGGCTCTACGGGGTTGCTCTGTAGCTCCGCCAGGGAGCAACGGAGCAACACTCCGTAGCTCTGCCAGGGAGCAACGGAGCAACGACCTGATTGGCCCGCCCTAGATAGATATATACGACGACCGTAGCCACGGTCTTAGATAGTTCTTGCTTGATTCTTCAAGCAAGCAATACACATTCGCTGCACTCATACACTTTGAGTGGGATTCCGATTTGACTATATTACCCGTGCGATAGGAGCTTGTTATTACAAACCACTCGACTGTTAGGGTCGTCTGTCTGTAAGGGAGCACGGGCTCCACAGAATGCTGGGGTTGGTAATTATGAAGATAGAACAAAGGGCAAGCTCCTATTGCGCGGGTAATACAGTCAAATCGGAATGCCACTCAAAGTGTATGAGTGCAGTGAATGTGTATTGCTTGCTTGAAGAACCAAGCAAGAACTATCTAGGACCGTGGCTATGGTCGTCGTATATATCTATCTAAGGCGGACCAATCAGAGTTCCTGACTCACATGCTCAGTCGTGCTCAGTTCCTAGACGCACTGATCCCTACTGAGCTCCCCGCTCAGTGCGCTCAGTGGGTCTCCGGCACTGAGCCTACTGAGCTCCCCGCTTAGTGCGCTCAGTGGCTCTCGGCAATGGCCCCACTGAGCACTCCCTCATTGGATGCACCTTTAAGCGAGAGCCCCCCACCTTAAATGCTGTTCCAGCCAATCCACAGAAGGCGGGCAGCGCCCTCTGCACCTTTGAACCAGGATCGTAACACTTGCCCTTTCTTCTATCTTCATAATTACCAACCCCAGCATTCCGTGGAGTGTTACGATCCTGGTTCAGGGTGCATGAGGCGCCCTGCTTCCGCCCCGTGATTGGGTGACGTGGTGGAGACGGACAGACCCCACCCCGTGTGGGTGCGGCCAACCAGGAAGCGCTCTGCCTGATTAGCTGCCAAGACCAGCAGAGCGGACGGAGCGCAGACACCAAGGACTCTGATTGGTCCGCCTTAGATAGATATATACGACGACCGTAGCCACGGTCTTAGATAGTTCTTGCTTGGTTCTTCAAGCAAGCAATACACATTCACTGCACTCATACACTTTGAGTGGCATTCCGATTTGACTGTATTACCCGCGCGATAGGAGCTTGCCCTTTGTTCTATCTTCATAATTACCAACCCCAGCATTCTGTAGAGCCCGTGCCCCTTACAGACAGACGACCCTAACAGTCGAGTGGTTTGTAATACCAGGTTGAAGTCTTACCTGGACCGTAACTTATTTTGGTTAAATGGCCTTAAAGAGAAGACCCTAACTTGGAACAAGCTCAACTAAGAATTAAAAGAGATCGCTACAAGCGAAGAAACATAGACAAAGTTCGCCAAAGTCCCCACCACTACTGGAAACAAAGCAAAGGAAGACAAAGGCAACGGCAAGAGACAGAGAAAGCTCTGCAATAAGTGTAATAGAAGTATAGCCAAGGACTGGGAGTATAAGTAGTGTGGATATCATAGTCCAAAGGAAAAGACCAACTGCTGGTGGTGTAACCCGGAACAAGCTCTAGATCACTGGGTCAAGAAAGGAAAGGCACTGGAAGAGAAGAAGAAGCGTGAAGCTTCAAGCGCAATATCAGCTGTTGTTGTATATAATGGTCTTGCGAATCTCTTAACGCAGACAAATTAGAGTCTGTTATTCTCAACCAACTTTTTTACGCCTCAAATCGATCTCTCTGAGCATCAGCCACCTGCTTGGAGTTTACTTGCCAAACTGCACAGCCCTGTCAATTTGGCTACAAAGCCTCCCAGCAACATCAACACGGCTATTGAGCCGCATATTGGAAATGAGAAAATTCGATATCTCCAAGCGCCTTAGCCGCAGGCCCGTA